TTCATTAATTTATTCAATTATAAACTCACTCATTCATTCATTCGTTAATTTATTCCTTCCTTCTCTCATTCATTCCTTTGTTCATTCATATATTGACTAGCTCTGTTATAAATTCATTCATTCTCAAATACATTTTGTTTATTCAAAGGCCTGATTATAAATATCTTTTAAAAAAGACAATATCCAATTTGTTAATCATTAATAAACATTTCAGGATAAGTTTTGTTACCAGGTCTTTGTTAGCAATTCAATTACATATTTTAAATTAAATGTTATGAAACTGAAAATTAAATAAAAATGTTAATTAGACAACAAGTTAGTATTAGTTGAATAAAATGTTATTATAATTATAAACATGACTCCGCGGCTCAGTAAAAACTAACTTTCTTCGTAAGTTTGAGGGCTTATTTTTACCTAAACAAAAAAATTTTTGTCTCGTTGTTCCTATCGTTCTTATTTTTATTATTTATATTATTTTATTTTATTTTACTGTTAATATTATTTTTATTTTTTCACGAATAGCTTGAACAACTAAAAAACACACAGATAGTAAAACAAATAGGCAGACAAACAATCAGACAATCAGATAATCAAACAGCTTGACAATCAGACCAGCAGATTGACAGTAAATCAGACAAACAGTCAGACAGACATACAGTCAGACAAACAGTTAGACAGACATACAAACAGTTAGACAGACATACAAACAGACAGTCATACAGACATACAGATAGGCATACCCAAATCATCGATATGTTCGGCCATAGCTAGACTGACACCGACCAACAACATGCTGGCGACTATCATCAGCGTTGTCATGACGACCACCGCCCACTTCATTCGTTTGTACCTGCGCGTTCGTTCGTTCGTTCAAGTTTATTCGAATGTCACGTAACGTAGTTAAGGTAGTCACGTGCTGTGACGTTGAAATGACGTAATTACATAAGATGTGATTCATGGTTTGAGTGAGAAGAGGTTGTTATGTAAGACCGTGCTGTCTCGATGAATGCTGGCCATGTTATTAGAAATATAAGATATTTATTTACTCAAAAAGTAATTCAAACGAAAAATTTCAACGTGAACGTTTGAGTAGATTAACAAACAAACAAACAAACAGATGGACAAACAAACAGATGGACAAACAGATAAACGAAGATGATTGGATAAAAGGATGAACCGATGAAAGAAAAAAAAATTCACGTAGCCCTTTCTCCGACGCGCACTCAAAAATTAATGGATGAATAGATGAATAGATGGAGGGATGGATGGATGGATGGACGAAGAGATGACGGAATAGATGGATAGATGGATGATTGGATTGATGGTTGTACGCGACGCAAACAAACGTCATTACGCGCCAACTAAAAGCCACTAAAAGCTTCATTGATTTATTTGCACAAGGTATTCATTTTTTTTTATAAAATTTTTCACCATATTTTTGAGCAATATTATTTTATTTTTAAATGAAAACGCTACATTATTTAAACAGGACAGTTTTTAAAAAACAAAAATCAATTAAAAAATAATGAAAAATTACAAAAAGAATTTTGTTTAAATAAACATAAATATCAAAATTAAATAAGCAGCATCTGAAAGGATTGAATATTTATGTTAAGGACATGTTTTACAACTAATTTTCAAAAACTCTTAAAACCACAAAATAATAAAAAAAACATTTTTAATAAAACTAGAAATAAAACAATTAAAATATTAAAATAACATAAAAAATAAAATAAAACAAATGAAAAAAATGAAATAAGAACCAAACGCAAAGCTAGTGTTACTGATGTACTCGAGAAGATGGGCGCACGGGCGTATGAATATTTAATCATATGACAGGAACATGATGTGATACAAGCCTATTAATCACGGCTTGCTAATGTAATTTTTAGTTCATTTACCATCTTCATTATGACTAGAATAAAGACGTAATAATAATTAATTATTTTCATTTTCATCGTCGTCTCTACCAATGTCATAGTTTTATCTGTGAAGATTCGTCATTGTTGTCAGCGCATGTTAAAACATTGAATCAAGGATAACCACACTTACAATAGCTGCAACGACTGCAGCAACCACACTAGCTGCATCAACCACAACAAATGCAATAACTATAAACACTTTAACAACAACTAACAATACCAACACAAACCACGTCATCAAAACTAAAACCACCTAATGGCCAGTGAATCATCAGACACCGTTTTATGCAGTCGCGATTTGCTTGAACGTCTGGTCTTCTTGTAGCAGCGTGCAGTCGAGGTGGCGGAGTTGGCGTCGGCGTCCTGGTGAACTGTTATTGGTGGAAGTTTAGCGATTGTGAAACCCGGATAGGATGATGGAGATTCATCGCTACTGGCGTTGTATGAAGATTGATAATAGGCCATAGGAGGATGTTTCTGAGTTGCTGTGTGGCTGATGTCTACGCCTCGAGCGTGTGTGTCGCGTCCGTTCTCTGCGTGCGTGTCCGTGTCACCAAATGTGTGCTGGTGTTCAGATGTGAATGTGGTTTTTGTTGTTTTTTTTTTGTTATGTTCACGTTCTCGCTGTTTCAAGTTATACAAATTTGTTTGATTTTTTGATTATATTTTTGAGGTTTAGGAGTCAATTTGATTTTCAAAAGTTGCTACTGTGAATTTTGCTAATTTTGGAATATTGCAAATGCAGTGGTAGATATATTTTTTGTGTTTACAAAGTGTTTACAGTGTTGTTGTTGATGCTGCTATATTGTTGTTGTTACTGTTGTTGTTGATGTTGTTTAGGCTAATATAAATCGAGTATAGCACTGAACCAGGTGTTTGTTTGTTTGTGCTTGCTTGTGAAATGGCAAATGATTTTGTATGAGACAGTTCATAGAACGCTGTTTTTAACAGCTAAAAAATGGTATTGTTGTGTAGTTGTTGGTTTTAGTTGGCTTATTTTTATTTCTGTCGTCTTCTTACGTCATAATCTTGCTTCTGTTGATGACGTAGTTCTTCATTATAATAATTAATTTAGTCAAAATTTCGGCCAGCCTTTGATTATTGATTTAGTTGTGTTAATTAGAAAAATTTAGTCCGATTTTGTTGCACCATAATTTCAGCCTTTTGTTGTTGTCGTTGTTAGTCTAATCCTTCACAATAATAACAACAATATTGTTGTTTTAGTTGTAGTTGTTGTTGTCAATAACATCAATGGTGTCATTCGGATTGTACGTTGTTGTTGTTGTTGCTGCTTGTTCGTCCTTATCAATGTAAAAAACAACAAAATATAAAAAGGAGTCATTGAGATAAGCAATGCAAAGCTATTAATCAGAGGAAGGTTTCGCTATGATGCCACGCACTGATATAACTCGCTGAGTTATACACACCACCATCGTTACGAATGACAGTAAGTCTAGTGTACATTTATTAATGTGATGCAATAAATAAGGAGATCTCGTAAGGCGTTGTTGTTACTGATGTTGATGAAGTTGGTGTTGTTGATGTTTCGAATGCTTGCTTTGTTGCTTGGTGGCAGTTGTTTAATGCGTGGTTTATCGTGATTTTGTCTGATGATTTTGCATTTTTGTTTGTTTATTTTTTTTTTCGTTTTTATTATAGATTGTGTAGCTGTTTCGCTATCAACTTTGCTTCATTAGTAACTGAGTTTGTGATAGGTTTCACCTAAAATTACGTATAACCGTTAATTTGAGTCCTATTAAAAAAGTGGCATGTTTGTTACATTCGCTGTCTGTCATGCCAACGACCGAATGTTTCTACATAAAACATTCCAGAAAGTGTCATGGAAACGTGTTAATTAGCGTGATTAAATGCCATTCGTTTAGAAGTGCCTGGATGACAAAGATCTTCTTGCCTCCCGCTGTTGTGCTGTTTTAGATTGTGCTTTTGAGGTTTGTTATATGTTTTGAAAATGTGAATTTTTCGGCAATGTTGTTGTTGTTGTTATCGTTGTTGTTGTTTTTAATGTTAGCATATTGTTGTTGTGTTTGTTAATAGCAGCATTCAAGTTGATTGTACAAAAAGTGTACTTACTTCATTTCCCGCTAATCTTACAAATTTTTTACCAGCTGACGTTATTAATAAATCTGTAGAACCTTAATTAACTTAAGGTTTCTTCTGTCAAATTTATATTTGATTTAATTTGTATCACTTATAGAAATCAATTAATGCCGTAATGTTTTTAGCGTCAAAGCTTTTCTATTCTGAACAAAATTCGTTTAACATTTGCTAAAATTCAAACAAAATTTAAGTTTTTAAAATTAAAAATAAAAAAAATTAATTTTAGAAAATTCACAACCATTTTTTTATTAAATAACTATTTTATTTGTTTTATTTTTATAATTAATTTTAATCATTTGCATGTGTATTAGTGTAACAGAAGTTTATAAATGAACTATAAAAAAATTAAAAAAAAACTTTACTACTTTTTCTGTCTTAAAGATTTGCGCCGTTTAGAGCTGGCAGAATGCATAGATTTTATCATGTAATTATCGAGCCTTGATCTATCTATCTTTAAGTTTGATATCTTATCTAATTCAACGAGGTTTATATGTCTTTCTGAATCGAAACGATGATGATTACTATTATTTTGCAGCTGTTTTTTGCTGTCGTTCTTAAAGCTGGTGTTGATGCTTTTGTTGTCGGTAGATTTTTTAATGTTTTTGTCGTTGTTTATTTGTTTGTTGTTGTTGCTGTTGCTTATGACGTTGCTAATGTTTTTGTTAGTTGTGCTGTTGATGACGTCATCGTCATTTTCAATGTTGCGGCAAGTAAATTTGCTGGTACTGTCGTCAAGGTTCTTGCTCTTGTTTTTTTTGTTGATAGTAACGTTGTTGCTGTTGAGATTGTTGCTATTAGAATTGATGTTGTTGTGGTTGGTGTTTTTGTTGTTGTTGCTGTTATTGCAGTTGCTGATTATTCTGTTCAAAATTTTATCTACAGTTTTTAGGCCATTTGTGCATTCTGTTGAGAAAAATTGTCCACATGTACCGTGAGATTTTGTCAGTGTTGTGGTCTTTACTGTCGGTGTTATAGCAGTAGTAGTTGTTGTTGTTGTTATTGTTGTTGTTACAGCAGTAACAATTGTTGTTGTTGTATGTTTAGAATTTTTAAATATTTGTGGCTCTACAAAAACCAGTTTTCCACCTACAAAGTAGTTAACCTTGTCGCGAATGTTAGTGTTGTTCTTGAGGATGAGGTTGTTGTTTTTGTTGTTGTGGTTGTCACTGTTGATGTTGTTGTTGTTGTTGTCGGGGTTGTTTAGGTAGTTGAAGATGTACGTGTCTTCATCGGGGCCGTTGTGGCCAATCGTGATGGAAAATAAACCCTTGTCAGTGGTGTCGTCCACAATTTCTTGTTGCAAATTTTAACAAGAGAGAGAAAAAAGATTTTAAAATTGATATTAAATATTTTCTAAAGTAAAAATCACAGACGTATATTCTTATTGCTCGTTTAGCAATCAAGCATATGAATAAAATTTATTTCAATAAATAAATGAAAGGTTTCAATTGTTCAAGCTCGACTTTTTTCAAGATTTCATTTTTTCAAGTTTCAAGTATCTTTAAACTGGTTTCTAGCTTAATTTGTAAATTGTAAGAAGATTATATAATATTATTATTATAATATAATTAAATTAGGCATATTCATATAAATTTTAATTTAATTTCACAAAAAGAGAAGAGATAAAAAAATTAAATAAAAACAAACTCGCCCTTACCATAGTTTAATAAAATTGACGTAAATTTACATTCCTATGTCAATCAAACGTTTTGCATACGATCGCTAAAAATTGTATTTATTTTTTTTTTATTAAAAAACAAAAACATCGGTGACGCCATAATGAAGAGTTAATTTATTTTATGATTTATTTATTTTAATTTCGTGAATACTTTATAAAAAAAACTTAAAAAACTCCAAATAAAATTAATTCAACATCAAAAACACGGAGGCGTGTTGGTTGGTTGTATAGAGGAAAAAATGCAAAGCCATATGACGCGAATGCTGGTGCAATCGTCATCGTTATCATCATCGTCATCATCATCATTCTCATCATCATCATCTTCGTCATCGCCATCATTTGACCACGTGATTGTCGTGATCTGTGTTCTATTTATAGAAGCAGCAGCTTCGTGCTGACGATTCTGCTGCTACCTTGCTGCTACGACTGCCTATAATAAATGCATGACCAAAACAACAACAATACAAAAAATTTTCACGTTCGTGATGACGACGACGATGACGATGATGATGACACTGATGATTATAACTAAGAGCGATAATGATGGCTTATTATCATCATCATTTGCATCATCATTAACATCATTATAATCCTCAACATCGTTATCGTGATCATCATTTTCAATATCATTATCATCATTATTTCATCATCTTTACCATTATCGTCTTAATAGTTATCAACATCGGCTTTTTGATCTTCATAATCATCGTCATTATTATTTTCTTCATCATCATCATCGTCATCGTCATCATAATCATCATTACCTCCGCTTAAAACCTCTCACCTGACACATTTCCTCCATTTAAAAGGCTAACACCTGTTACAGCCATTAACGGCAGATACATGAATAGATATTCATGTATGTTTGTTTAGTGCTATATGCATGCGAATTTGTTTATATATGTGTGTGTGTATGTGTTTATGTGTGTATGGGTGTGTATGTATGTATGTGTTTGTTTGTTTATTTGTGTATGTATGCATCCTATTATGATGAATTTGATAACAACAGTTTCATTAAATTTTCATGATGAACATGGATGGAATATTTTTAACAAATTTAACAAGTTCCAAAAAACTAAAATTACTAGACAACAACAACCATTATAATCTACGACTGGCCGAATCAATACTCATACTCATAGAAGAAAGACATCCGATAATAAATATTCAACAACGGGTGATTGGAATAAATACTAATAAATTTAGAAACAGAGGAATCATAGATAATGAAAACACGTAAAAGTGTTATATTGAAGTTGTAGATTTTTAATAACTGATTAAATGATAGTTAAGTATTCGCATTGAACGAACTAAGAATCAACAAAGTAAAGACACAGTATATATGTATACTTGAGCAATCTGGCCACATACACAACGTATCAATTCGAACATCGATGATGGTATAGGAATACCGAAAAAAAGCATTTTTGTTCTATCATGTTTATAATAAATACAAATTTTGGTTTTGAACTCAAGAAACTTGAGAATGATTTACGATCAACCGTTAGAAAAATCGAAAAAGCTTACGTGTGTACAATTTTGTACATGTACAGATGTACGTACACTTGCATCTGATGTGTACTACGACTTGTTTTATTGATAGCATGCAGACATGTGAAAGAATTATTTTCAAAGTCATCAGGCCATATGGGACAGGTACATTAAAAGGACATACAACGAACGCATACACAGGTATATATATATATAATACATAGAGAACATTTAACAGGAAGTTTATGTGAATCAGATTATGTTTGGTTTTATTGATGCTTTATTGTTATTATATTATTATCGACCCCGTCGTTGTCGTCGTCATCACGTAAAATGCATTTGTGGGCTGTCGCATTTCATTCTTAACGTCAGAAAACTATTTTAAAAAAAAAGTAAATGAATGAATGCCACACCATTAAGTAGCAATTAATATCATCATTTTCGCTATGATCGCCAGCATCATTTGCCATTTTTACATCGATATTTATCCTCATCGCCATCTTCTTCTTCTTCTTCTTCATCTATCTATTTAATCATCACACTAAATGGTAAAAATTTATTTTACATAATTACACACATGAGACTAGTTTGATGACGTGCGCACGGTACATAGAAATAAAATCCAAATTAAAACATTACGGTGAGGTTATACTATCGGCTGTTACTCGTATTTATTCGTACGGGTCGGTATTCCTACGTATCGGTATTCGTATTCGTACGAGTATAGACAATGTCGGTTAAAATTTGAAATCAAATGATTTGAATTCCAATGATTTAAAGTCATAATTTATTCCATTTGTAATAACCCTCACAATAACTTACAATGGACTGCATACGGCCTTGTATTTCCTGAAATATCCAACTTCTATACCCAATTCCAACTGCTCTATTTTAGATTCATTTAATAATAATAATTTAATGGTTATGGGATCAATTTGGAAAAAAGTCTTACTTAATTTATTTCGAATTTTCATAAATTTATAAATAGCCAACACGTAACTTAAAACATAATATATATATATATATATATATATATATATATATATATATATATATATATATATATCCCACTACCAATATAAAAGCAAAGAAGCGTAGCTATAATCTATAGAGTTGAATAAAATTGCTTATTAAATAGATAGTTAATTAATTAACTAATAAATTAATTAATCATATAAGTAAGTAGATAATTAATAAATTCATCACAAATTCATCCATAAGTCCTTAATGGATAATTAAACGCAATTGAAAGTTTAAATCAAATAGCATAATGAGTAAATTTAGACATTAATTAAAATCATTTGGTCATTCATTGTTCATTAATTAATTCATTCATTCATTCGATAATCATTCAGCCATTAAAAAAATTAACGGTTGGAACATGAAATCATTTTTTGTTAAAGTTAACCACAAAATATGGAAAAAAAATCATAAAAGTTAATCACAATATTTAATAAAAAAAATTATTTTTTTCTTAAACATACCAACAAAACCACCTACCCACATACCTACCTACCTACCTACCTAACTACCTACCTAACTACCTACCTATCTACCTACCTACCTATCTACCCACCCACCTACCTACCTACCTACCAACTTTATAAACACAACCTAGTGTCAGTCCATAAACAAGCATCTTACGATATTTTACAGCACTGTAGTATTCGTTAAAGGTATTCCTCACAACAAACACTTTTTAAGATAATTTCTCTATGATAAATGTAAAAATTAAAAAAGAAAAACTCTAGTCGATCGTTCAATAAGAAAAATTGCTTTGCAAAATGATTCAAATGATTTTTTTTATTAGAATAAATATCCCAAAAAACATTTGAAAAGAAAAAACGGATGGATTGGTGAATGAATGAATTAATTAATAAATTATTGAATTAATGAATGAATGAATGAACAAACGAGCGAACGAAGGAACGAATGAATGATTAAACAAACAAATGTACAACAAAATAAACTTTGGAGAGAAAAGCTGAATAATGATTAGAAAACTCATCACTATTAAATGACTGCTACAAAATTTTGCAGCAATAAACAAACAAAAAAACAAACATTTAGATATACCGACATTAAAAAAACTTAATACAAAGTTAAACTTTCAAATTGAAAAAAACAACAAAAAAATCCTTAATGTACACTGTGAATATATTGAACTATTTAAATGAAGCAAGCAAGTAGCAAGAAGATAATAAAAATACGGAATCAGCATAACAAATATGAAAAACATATACAGTGTGTGTGTCTGTGTGTGTGTGTCTATGTATGTGTGTCTCTGTGTGTGTCTGTGTGTGTGTGTGTGTCTGTGTATGTGTAACTTTAATAATACTATCACCGTTGTAATTGTAAGGCACTAACTGTTGCAATGTTAATACGACTACGTTATTATTAACGTACAATTTCGTTTAATGTTTGTATGATGTGACGAGAAATATTTAAACTATTTAACTTAGGCAAACTATTTTTAAAGAATTAAATTTATAAAAAAAAATATATTTAAAGTATATAAATCTATCACAATAGAATAAAATTTCAGTTATTGTGTCAAAAAATGTGATTGTCACAATTAAGTCATTGCATTTGTATGGATTGTTTTTAGGTAAGGCTGAATATTATTTTATAAGTGGTTTATAGGTTGGCTAAACGAAAGAATGAAATGAATGAATGAATAAGTAAGTGAATGAATGAATGACTGAATGAACAAAGGAACGAACGAATAAATAAATAAATGAACTGAATGCTTGAACGAGCAGTTGCAAGAATGAATAACAAATAATCAAACAGATACAAAAATAAATAAATAATTGCGATCAGAGGGGAAAAAATCAAAAAAATCTTATTCATGTGTAATATATTATTTATTCTCCCTTTGTAGAAAAATAAGCTAACTGTGTATTGGCATGCATGAATGTATAAATGTATTTTGCATGTGTGAAGCTGATCGTCGTCATCATCTTCTTCTTCTTCATCATTATCACCATATCTTCGTCATCATCTTCATCATCATCATTTTTTCATCATCATTTTCAGTCACCCTCACGGCAACCATCATCATTTCATCTTTTCGTATTGATCTTTTCACCACAGAAAGACTTAACGTAACATATACAAACCCATACGGCAAATACATATGTAGATATATTTTTATATATCAGTGTGTTTATGTATGATGTTTTGTTTGCGTGTGTGCGTGTGTGTGGTGTAATTTGATACAAGTATTGTATACATAATAGGTGTGCATTTTTTTAGATGAATGTTCAGACGAGTATTGATAATTTAGCTGGTAGCTTTAATGATGATAACGATGGTGACGACGACGATGACGATGATAATATTATTGTAATTCATTCGTTTCTTCGCACTAAATATTCTCATTTCTACTTAGTTAATCATCAATAACACACAACAAGCATAGGCAGTCATATTTCGTAGATGAATGTAAACACACACACACGCACATACACACACAGATATATATACACACATTCATGCACAGACACAAACATACATGCACGCACACAAATACACGCACATACATAGATATACACATGCATACATTGTTTATTTTTTTTAGAGTTTTTTGAGTATATTTCCAAGTAGCTATTTGTTTATTTATAAAGCTGATGATGTTCATGATGATAGTTTTATACCATCAACATCTATATCATCGCCATCATTGATTGTATTATTATTATTATCGTTATTATTATTGTTATTATTTTTATTATTGTTGTTGTTGTTGTTGTTGTTGTTGTTGTCGTCGTCGTTGTTGTTGTTGTTGTTGTTGTTGTTGCTGTTGTTGCGTTTTCATTTACTTTTATACCGCGAGTATTTTAATTTTCACTCACATCATGATCATCGATTTTATCACTCTTATTATTATCATCATCATCTTTATTAGTATTATTATTGTTGTTGTTTTTGTTATTGTTATCATTATTGTTGGAAACGATGGAAACATTTTCCGTATTGGAATTTTCCGAGCCAACAACAACAACAGCTGAGCGTTGGGCATTGCAGATGTTCTTTTTAACCAGACCCTCATCGCCATCATCATCAGTTTTGTTATTGCTGTTGTTATTAACATTTTTATTATTGTTGTCGTTGTCATTGTTTTTGTCGTCGTTGTCATTGTTGTTGTTGTTGTGGTTGTTGTTGTTGTGGTTGTTGTTGTCGTTATTGTTGGTTTCATCACTGTTATCATTTTTATTATCACTTCTCATCCCGTCCCCATCAGGGTACTTAGCGTCGGAATCAGCTTTCATGTCAACGTCAGCATTAACTCTTCTTTCATCAATAACATCAATAAATTTTGCACCGCTATCATTGTTATCATCGTCATTATTATTATTATTATGGTCATTATTATTACTATTATCATCATCATCATTATTATTATTATTATTGTTCGTTTCTTCGACACTTCTCGGATCAACGATCGTGATGATCTTCTTCACTCTCTTCATGATTTCATTCTTCTCATCGGTGGACAGTATGCAGTCCAGTTGCTTCTCGCTATCGAGTATGACAATGTTACCAGACGCAAGGTTGAAGATGCTCTTCGCGTTTCTTGATTTGGAAGCAGACGGACAGCGACGATATTGAAGTTGAAGTTCCGGAGAAAAATAAACCGTCCCGCCACGAACTTCGATGGGACACGCCCTGGTTGATCCCCCGTAGTTCCAAGGTTTTGCGGGAACGGAAGACACTTCGTATGAACATTTTTTGTTGCCGATGTTTCTGAAGTCTTTGCCGTATTTATAGTTTTTGTTGTTGTTGATGATGGATGTGGTGATGGTTGAAGCGAGGCAGTTGGTGTAATTGTTGCTGGTCTGTTGGTCCTGCTGCATGCTTTTGAATGTTGCCGCGTGAGGTGAAAGTTTCGACTGGACTAGAGACGCGATTGTTGTTGTCGACGATGTTGAAGTCGACGTGGTGGCAGTTGATGTTGCAGTTGTTGAGGTTGTGGCTGTAGTTGATGCAACAACCTCTGCTGTTGTTGTTGGTGGTGGTTGTGGTGATGCTGTCTCAGATGCGTTGGTTGAAATAGCAATAGAAACTGGCTTGGCAACTGATGAGCTGGTTGAATCTGATGACTTTGCTGTGATGGAAGTTGTAGGTGATGTCACAGATGTTGACAACTTTGTTGAAGATGCTACAAACGTTGATACACTCGTCACAACTGCAGGTTTGAAAGTATGTGGAAGTGTCCGCCCACCTGACTGCAAGTTGTGGCTGTGTTGCTGTTGTTGCATGTAGTTCGGAGAATGTTGAAAGTTAAAATTTTTATGTAGCTGTTGTTGTTGCCTCAAATTTTGAGGAGCAATTATGATCGGCATTGGAGTCACGCGAATAGGAAAAGCAACAATTTGCTGTTGGTTGTAGAAGTTACCCATGCTGTTACTACCTTGGCTGCAGTGGCTGTTGTTGTTGGAATTAGAACTGAGGTTGTTGTTGTTGTTGTTGTTGTTGTTGTTGAACTTTCCATTGAAAGGCAGGTTGCGTGGGGGCATAAGTGATCCGGCAGGTAAGATGAATGTCGTAGTTGGCACGTAGGGATTGGGAGGTGGGTAGGCGTGCGGGTGAAATACTCGATTTCTTGGAGGGATGGGCAGGCGAGGGTGTAGGGAGGGCCTGCTGGCTTTCACTGTTCAACGTTTAATTAATTTATATATATATATACATTCATGCGTATACTAAATTCGTTGCCTGTCCGCGGAACCAGAAAGTTTGAGAAGCACTGATATAGCGCACAGTTAACTGATGTAGCGCAAGGTTAACAATAAATAACACGATGTTCATTTTATAGACATGTATAACTAATAAAATAGTAAAATAAAAAGTTCCAAACTAATAAAAATGAAAATAAGCTTCAATTTTACCATCCATAACTTTGTTGTCAGTTCTCTGGAAAGAGTACCTCTTCGGTTGGACCACTTGCTCCAACTTTTCAGACTTTGGGACGACGGACTCAGTGGTGTCGCCACTCTTCAGACCGCTGACATCAACCACTTTTGGAGGATTAATTTGCTGCGCGTTGTTCTTAGTAAAATTGTTACTATTAACATTTGCAGTAGGAGCCACTTTAGAATTGTTGTTATTACCGTCAGTTGATTTTATGCTGATATTTTTGCCGTTATTTGTACTACCATCAACATTACTGTTGGCAATACTGTATAGACAAGAAGCAGTAGAATTAGATGATGAGGATGAAGATGATGAGGATGGTGAGGATGATGACTTTTGATTGCGCGTTTGTGCGCAACATGTAACTGGAGGTAGGATGTCCAACAAAATGTCTGCACATTTGAAAGTATTTAAGTATTCAATGCTTAGAAAATTTTTGAAAAAAATAACATTTGGTATAAAAACTAAATTTTAAAACGTTTATTTACTTGTTGGTTTCGATATGATCTGGCACTTTTTAACATCAACACTCATACTCTGCTTCGAGGAGCTGCTAATATTATTATCGCCATTGTGATTTAATCCGCCAGAGCATAAACCGTTATTGTTATTAGTAGTAGTATTGTTAATGTTGTTGTTGTTGGTACTGCTGTAATTGTTGTTGTTATTGCTCTTGTTGAAATTATTATTATTACCATTGCTGCAGTTTTCGCCGGCGTTTTCAGCAGGACCATCATTACCACACATTATGATGAGTCTGACATCTTGAGGGTGATTACTGAACCTGGGATAGATTCTTGGGTGCTGGAGTTTTCTGCCAAATCCTCTGTACCTTCCTCTTATTGGAAATCCCATGCCTTTGTATCCGTAACTATCCGGTTTTTCCCACATTTGAGATCCGTTGTTGTAGTTGAACTGGTTGTCGTATCTGTTGGGATGGGGATTTCCATAACTTTCACTTCTATCCCCGTGAAAATTGCCTCCTTTATCATTGACGTCATCATCCTTAGTTTCCTCGTCATCCATCTTTTTACCTTTCACCCAGTTTACCATTGGTAGAATCCTTCCAGAGCCAACTGTAAATTTTCTTTTTTTTCTCTGAAACCTAGCTGAAGCACCACCTCTTACATAAGAAGGAGTAATTTCGCCTGCGCTACAAACGCTTCCGCTACTGTTGTTACTGCTGCCGCTGCTCTGACTACCATTGCTACAGAGACTGTTTTGTCTCACTTTCTTGAAATCATTCGATCTTTCCACAAAATTGCAGTTTTTGTTGTAAGTGACTTTTTTTGGGTCACCGTTGTTGTTGTTGTTGCTATGATGGTTGTTGTCATAAAAGTTGTTGTTATTGCTGTTGTTGTTGTGGCTGTGGTAATCATGCTGGTAGTTAAAGTTGTTGTTTTTATAATTGTAATTAGGGTTGTAGTTAATGCTGTTGTTGTTGCTGCTGCTGCTGTTGCTGTTGAATGAACCGTTGTTGTTGCAGTTAGTCGGTTGGTTTCTGGCAGGGCCTTCCAAGAAAAATTTGTTGTTGTTGCTGTTGTTGCAGTTTGTCTTGTTGCTATCCTCAAAGTTGCTCCTACTTCTTATGGTCACTTTCTTACCTGACTGACCATCGCCATTATACTTGTCCAACTCCTTTCCGTCACCTTCAACAACGACAGTTGCGGAGTTGTTCACAACAATCAGTGTTCGGATGGTTGGACTTTTAGAGTAGGATTTGTTGTAACGCTTGCAGTTATAGACGCAATTGTCTAACGTCTCGTTGATGTTGCCGTTGAAGTTTTGGTGTCTACCTGACTCTTTGTACAACGGGATTCTGTCAAAGTTTACAAATTAATCTCAATTAATCATTTAAACGGATACTTACATTAAAAAGCGTCAAAAAAACAAAACTTAAAAAACATCTTTCAAATGACGTACTACCTATATTTCCTTCTGTATGAAGTTGATTTTCCAAATGAGTTGAACATTTTTTCATTCTTGCGAATGTTGAAGCCATAGATGGTCACCAGCTCATGAACTGATTTTGGACGCTGAGACTTCTCATCAAAACGATCATGTTCCCATTTTCCTTGTTCTCCATTCCATGCACTCAGTCTGGAGGTCCTTGTGTTGTTTCTGTGTTGTTCACTTCAATTTGTTAATTTTCTAGCTCAGTAACCAATACATTTTGACGACCAACTATTTTGACGAGAAAATCCCCAAAATTACAGAATAAAACGGAATAAAGTTTGAATAAAGATAAGAAAAACAAAGCAACCTGCTGGCGGAACGACTTTTAAATTTAGTTTTCGAGTTGTTTTCAGTCTTCTTGTGAACTATTTCCTCCTCTCCTCCTCTCCTCAAGTCATGTTCGAAGAAGGCGCCCTTCCTGGGAACATAGGCAGGATTTTTGCGATCCTCATCATCATCTTTTGCCTCGGAATTCGTAGGCTGTTCCTAGGTTTTTTATGAATTTGTTAAATATATGTTACCAAAAAGCAAACAAACACGGTCTCGTAGGTAAATAACTAGCAGCCGAACAAAAGACACAAATTAACAAACAGACTTCTCCATCTCCGCAATATCTCTTCCCATTCAATTCCAAAGGTTCGTCGTCCAAATTTTGACTGTTCACGTCATCATCGTCGTCGTCCTCTTCAGTCCAGTCCGTGAATTGATCGGAGTCATCTTCGTCAGCGACTGACGAGCCAACATCGTCAAGTTTCGTCGTACGCTGGGTTAAAGAAATATTTTTTTTAAATTAGTCATTTATAATAAAATTAAAAAAAAATGTTCATTAATATATAAGAATTGTCCATTTATCAACTATATTTGTTCTTAGTTTAATAAGAGTTTAATAAAACATTAGTCAAGAAATTTTCCAGACGCACTTCAATGGTAACAAGTGTCTCGAATTTTTTATCACATTTATTTTTGCTTTCCAAGTTCTCTAAAATAACATCAGACATCTTGTAGTGGTAATAGTAATAATTCTACTATAATTATCCTATATAGTAAATTATTTTATAACAATAAGCCGCCAGAAATTATTATTGGTGAGATTGAAAACTTGAAAAATGTTAGTCAAAACATTATAAACATATTGCGTTAACCAACATTACAGTAGCGTGTTTGATCATAATATCTGAGCGTATGCATGTAATGTAAAGGTAAACTTGTTAATATATCGACGTGCATTAAGTATAGATATACTAAGGCAGATGCTATGTATGCAAAACACTTCATGCGATGAAGAAAACAAACATATAGCTTCAGCAGCAACTGTATGTATGTTGTATATGTGTGTATAGAAACATGTATGTTGTATATGTATGTATGTATATTATAAAACGACCACGCCTGTTTATACATTCTATTGAACTCTTTGACTCATAAGTGTTAGCGTACTGTTTATTTTTAGGGATTGATTTAGTTCTCTCTTCCACTAACAAACCTTTATTTCAATGAGACGTGGATGTAATGTATTTCAGCCATCCTATCTAGATTGATATATGATAATTAATTTTGTGAGAAAGCTTCAAATTTTTTGTCTTGTTTCATATTTGTTCACTGTTTTCAAATAAATTGAAAATTTTGAAGTTTTATGATTTACTAGCTTTCTATGATGAACTAAACTACTTAATGATGTAGCAGAATTCGTTAATTTCCAGGTGTGCATAGCAAATGATTCGTCCACTTTAATAGTTATTTCCGTGTGATAAAAAAGTGTTTAAGATCACTCCTGTTCATATGAATCACAAATAATAATCAACTTCGTTTTACGACCAACATATTAATAACGTTCTATATATATCATAATAATATCCATGGTTCTGATGTCTTATAAATGTCTTTTATTCTATGGTTATGAACGTTAGTGGCTGCTATTCGTAACTACGCAAAATAATTTTTAAAAATGTAAAAATGTTTGTTCTTTGTTTGGTTCTTTTTCCTTAATAAATTCAATAATGGCGGAGCAGCGTGAGTGTTTTCTCCTTAATGTTTGTCATGGTCTTTTTTTTTTCGATTTTATTAAAACTTGAAATTGATTTTTAATTTGTGATTTTTTTATTTTTTCCAACTTTTACGTTTCCTCGGCAGAGTACATTTATGTGGCGACGCCTGCTGTGGTCGGCGCGTCGGCAAGGTAATCTATTCTAGTTATAATTTTTTATTTGAAAAACTAAAAATTTTTAAATTTTAATCACTTGTTCATTAAGCCGCATTTCTAAATTTTTCATTACTTATTTGATCTGAAATTTATTTATTGGGGAAATCAGTTATGCAGGTTACAGCAGTTACTCGCAAGCTGCGGAGACTGCTTATGTTCAGCCGGGTTATACGGCGATGGTCCAAGTGCCAGAGGTAAATTTGAAATAGTCTGCTAGTTTTATTTCATAATTTTATTTTGACTATCTGTAGATCAGTGAATAAATATCAAATTTACAATCATTTTATTCAATTGTCTTGCTACTAGCAAACTGGTGCAACCTATGTTGTTCCAAGCTACCCATATGACGGTCAGCTTCAGTTTTCACAACAAGCTCAGGCAGCTGCAGCTCCATTGCAATCTACCACCCAACCTGAATATGCTCTGCAAGCTGCTGGTTATGCTGCTCCAGGTTGTGTACCTTTTATAAATGTTTTAAATCATTTGATCTAACTTTTTATCCAATGTATGGACTGATATTCAAACATCTTTTTATGCAGATTATATTTATTTTTTACCAGCAGCAACTGGTTACAGTCAGCAACTGACAGTGCAGCAAGGAACAACAGGTTATACTCCTCAACAAAGTCAAGTTGTTTATGGTAGCCAGGCTCACCTGACTGCAGTGCAGCAAGCAGTTGCAGGACAGCAAGCTGCACTGGCTCAACAATCAGCTACACAAAATTTAACATATGCACAACAGCAACAACAGCAGCAGATGGTACAGCAAATGACAATGCCCTTAGCTTATGGGCAACAGCAAACAAGTCAGCCTGGTGTCACACAATATGCATATCAGCAAACATCATCTGCTTATGCACCCTCAGCTGCTATAGTATCACAGGTTTGTTTTTAGTTTTAATTGTAAAAATTTTTTTCTACTTCATATTTCATTTTTAAAGTTTTCTGTTCATTTTCACCAGAGTATATCAGCTCTACAACCACCAGCTTATGGTAGTACAACTTTGATGACCCAGCAAGCTGGACTGACATATGCCCAACAGCAGCAGCAACAAGCAATCCAGCAGCAACAAGCTTCACTCTATGCTACCCAACCGCCTGTCAATCAAACAAGTCAGCCTCCACCTTCTTTTAGTTATCAGCAGCAGCAACAAATAGCTGCTCTACAGCAGCAGCAACAACAACAGCAGCAGCAAGTTGCCACAGTTGTAGCAGCTTATAGTCAACAACCACAGCAGTCAACAGTTTACTATGGTCAACATTCACAGCAGCAACAGCCTCCTGTCATGCCTGGCCCAACTCAACAACAACAATCTCTTTCATTCACATCTCAAGCAACACAGCAGCAGATGTATCTACCTGGCACACAGCAACAAAACAATGTTGGGGTGCATGCGACAGCCGGTCAGTTATCATTAGGACCGTCTGGCCATCCTCCTGGCATCAGACCACCTCTCACACTTCCCAGTTTGTTGCTTCACATTTCATTTGCAATCTGTTTCAAATTCCTATTCCTTTAAAATCAAATTTAACTCCATCAGTTAATCTTGTATTTATAAATAAATGTATTTTTTAAGATTTGATTATTCTTATTAATAAAATTATCAATTTTTCTTAAACAGGGCATGGGGCACCTCCAGGATCAACCTTTCTTCAAATCAAGTAAGTTTGTGATGCAATTGCAGTTTTTCATCATTAGGCCATTTTACATATGCAATAAAAAGGATTCTATGGCATTTTTCAATGTGATGGCTGGCCTATCATGTTCATCATCGTATTTAATTTTGAGATGTTTGTTGGGTGTTTAAAGTGTTGGGTATTGCTTGGGTTTTCAATGCAGATCATTCTGCAAATGTTTTCATTCCAAACACATCCAATTTAATAATCTGCTGATTGGTTTGTGTGGGTGTTAAGTTTCCTTTCCAGTAAAACACAATTCATTAATGTATACATATATAATATTATTTCTTTGATTTTTCTTCAATAAGTGTTTTTTTTTATTAAATTAACTACAAGATCTTAGTAATTAATTGTAAGACTGTTTTGAATGTTTTCATCACACCTGCTGTTATAAAATTTAAAACAGATCTAAGTGGCTGCGTGTTTTATGTTTCTCAAAAATTGAATTGCATTATTCCTAATTTTGTGCAATAAAAGCTTTTTTAAATAACTAACAAAACTAAACTCAATTTCTGTATCTATATTTTATGAGAAAGTTGAACCTCTTCTAGTAAATAAGTAATGAGCAGCTATCTATTTTACCTATCCCTTCTTTATTTGGCTATTTGAACAATAATCATGAAGTATTGTGTACACTTTTTGTTTAATGTAAGTAATTTTTTCTCATAACTAATGTTTAAGTGTACATAAAAAGTTTAAAAATTAAAATAGTGATTACATTACATTAGAATGTAATTATAATAGCCACGATTTATTATCAATTAAATAATGCAGTACTGCATTCATTGCATGGGTTTTCTTGCAGGTTTGGACATGCAACTTATATTTTTGGTTTTCACTTGTTGTAGATTCACAGAATCTTTGGATTGTATTTTTCTCTTCAAACTTTTTAAAAATCACCTATGTTTCCATCATACTTTCCAATATATCACGTCATCATCGTTTTAAAAGAAGTTTGTATCATTCAACAGTTTTAATAGCATTCAAAATTTTATCATTTATTTATTTAAAGTATGAATTGTAGTTATCATTTTTCACCTATCAAGTATATTCCAGGGTTTTACCAGCAAATTGTTCAGTACAGAAGGACTCATTCTATTGTTATTTAATACATTTTATTATACATTTTCATCCATCCCAACAAAATTTGGCACACCTTCCGAGTGTGTAAACCAGTGTGTTGACATCCATTTATAAGTTGTCCTTAGTATTTATTGGTTGCAAACCATTGTATTGGTCATGTAATGCCTATTGGTCATGTATTTATCAGTTTATTATTCACTGTGTTTTCCATCATTTGGTCGGTTTTTATTTATTCATCCATCAATCAATCGATGGAGGATGGGATGTACAACTAATCATCAACTTCAACGGCAACAGCAGCAACTACACTGCAACAACATCACTTCCTTCCATCTCTTTATCCACATCATCACGTTTCTTTATCCACATCATCACGTTTATCAGTTACATCTTCAATTTATTTTTTGGACTCTATAGCACCTATCAAGTTTTATTATTATTATTATTATTATGACATCACCAACAAAATTACAGCCACCACCAGAGATTACAGGGAGTGCCAGCTAGGGGTTTTGGTGAGTGCTCTCATAAACATTTATTATTATTATTGTGTTATTATTATTACTTTTATTTATTTTATTATTATTTTACAGTCAATATTAGTATCTTTTTTATCATTATTCCCCCTCAATGTGTATTTATTTACTAATTATTGCTGTTAATGTTATTTTGTTGATTGTTTTATTTGGTAGTTTTACGTTGAGTGTTCGTTACCTTTTTCAATAATAAAAATAAGTATTTATTCAATATTATTACTACTATTATTATTTTTATGGTGCTTATTTAACTCTTTGCCCAATTGTAATTAATTATTAAAATATATTGTTCTTATTTCTAATTATATTTATTATATTTCTCTGAATATGGTTGAGTTGAACCCTTATTAAATTAATTACCTATAAATATAGTCAATCATCTCTGTAAACCATGTTAAAACAGAGATGCAATAACTATGCTTAGTAAAACTTGAATTATATCATGGAGTTTGCAAATAATGCGTTTATATTGTATTGTTAATGTTTCGTCTTTCTTAATTTATATACTGAACACTTTTCCATTATTTCATCTAAAGATTCTCACCACCTCTGTACCTATTTAATTATTTTATCCTTTCTGATTTCTGGAACATACATACTGTTTCTATTTTAAGAGAAAAAAATTAACTTTACTTTCTACTTGATGGTTTTGTTTAGCTTTTTTTAAATTCTAACGACAATTTTACTCATCAGTAATTTTACATATCGGTTTTTATCAAAGTTTTTGAAATTTTACAGTAGCTTCCAGAAAGTTTTTCAAGGTTTGATTGAGTTTCAGTGTGAAATATTCTTCAATCAACTTATTTCATCGGGGTTTCTAGTTCAGTGATGTGTTTTTTGAAAAAAGTTAAACATTATTTTGTTAATCATACTACAAAGCGCAGTGATATGGCAAAGTTTTTTCCACCTTCAGTCATAGGTTGCTTCAATTTTGTAAATGTGTGCAACATAATGATATGAGATCACTATAGTTTTGTGTATATATGTGTATATGTTACCTATATATTACCAGGTATTATTTCACATATAAATGAATTGGGTCGTGTTTTCATGTGTGAGCCCTAAAGTCTGTCAATTTTTACCGTCTATGTCAATTTTGCTGAATTTAAGGTTATTAAGTTTTAAAAGTATAATTAAGGTGAATTAATGAATCAGTAGTTGAATGGTGGTTTACATTTGCAAACTGGGTTAAACTTGTGTGGGTAAACTTATAGTCATTTGTCAGTAATAGTTTTAATGAACAGTTAATCTTTTTTTACTAGAATGACCTTCCAATGCAAGTATGAACAGTGCAGTGATGTATTCATTGCATACTGATGTATGTGTGCTTACTCTTGAGAGAATGGTAGTGATTGTCTATTTTTGTACTTTTAGTTTATTTTCTAGGTTGAAGAGCAGTTTGAAATTTTTTTTTTCATCCAAACGTTTTGGAAAAATTGGGAGGCTTTTTCAAAATGAAATCGTGTAAATAAATCACATTTCTTGATTTAAAAAAACTACATAGAATGTTTTGATATTCTGGTGTTTTTATCGGGTCTTAAATTTTTTAACAGTTTGTTTGGTAATGAATAAAACAGACGAAGTATAGTTTAATTGACTTCCTCATCACACTTACTACCGTTTCTTACAAAACTCTTTTCACACTCTTTAATGAAGTATTTGTATACCAGCATAACATTCGCTAGATCACAGACAGATATCATCTTTCATGATTAACTGTTTAATTTGTCAGGAGAGAGAGACCAACATCCACCAGAGAGTAGTGCAATTCACGGCAATCCTCTGCTGGCAGGCCCACAGAATAATGAGGTGGAGGTTCAGAGATTTCCAGACACAATCTTCATACAGGGACTCCCAGAAGATACAACTGAAGAAAAATTGGCCCAGCATTTTTCTGCTGCCGGTAAACTAAAGGTCAGTACTTTTTCTATTTCAGTTGCCTGTTCATTTGATTTAATTGCAGGTGTGATTATTTAATTAAAAATTTATTAAGTTGAATTTTGTTACCATTTTAAATTACACTGACGCAAGAAATATTTTTTTAAATTTCTTCAAACTAGTTGGATGGAAGAACAGGCAAGCCTCGCATTTCCATTATAAAAGACAAGGTAACTGGGAGGCCGAGGGGTGAGGCCACTCTTGGATTTCAAGATGCAGAAAGTGTTCAGACAGCCATCAAGATGTTCAACAGCAAGTGTTTCTCAATTTTAATTTGTTTTATTTATTAATTTCTTTTTTGATAAGTCTCTAGGCTTTGTTTTAATTATTTGTTGAATAAAATGATTAGCAATGGTTTTATTTGTTTGAAATTTTTTAATTGTAGTTAAAGATTTTCACGGACGAAAAATAAGGGTAGAGATGGCAAGTAGGAAAGTTCCTGTGGGACAACAGCCACCCCAACGTTTGTTACTTATTACTCATAAATTTGTTCAAGATTAAAATTTTCTGTAATTACTCATGTTTATTTAGTCTCTATTGGCAATTTTATTGACTTAGTTTTTGCATGTCATTATTTAATTTTATTTTTTTAACTTATTTGTTGCACTGATTAAGTTATACAAATAATATTTTTAGCTGTCGTTAAAAGAAGTCGACCAGGAGGTTATCACATTGATTTGTTTAAATGATTTCTGTAATGTTACCCATGTTGTTGGTTCATGTGCTATTGAATGTTTAGGTTTTTAGGTTGAATGTACTCAGAACATGTGCGTTTTTTGTGCGCATTATATCATTTAGTACCATTTACCACTTTTTACTTGCAGTCGTCTATGACTTTATAACAATTTATTTATTAATCCAACAGAGGATGCACTTGACTGGGTCTGTCCAAATCCGTCAGTAATAAGTTATTCATTAATTATTACTTTTAGTTTCATCCTTTTTTCTGTTTCTTGCTATTGGGATTTGAAAATTTGTCGTTATTTGGAAGGATAATAAATTTCTAATATCTAAAATAATTTTTCAAGTTTTTAACTTTTTATAAACTGGAGTTCATTTTTAAAAATTTACTTTATGTAGTTCCTGTAACAATGAGAATTTTTCTTGGAGAACAGAATGCAATCGTTGCAAAGGTCCAAGACAAATAAGTGATGGTAATCTATATATTTTTTCTTCATTTCAAACTGTTTAATTTCACTCCATCTATATCATTTAGTGATTTGTTTAATACTGTGTGGATATGTACTACAGGTTAAACCAAAGTTGATGCTTTTTTAAATGACTTTTATGTAGACTTTTATGTATGTATTGAGATTTTTAAGCTTCATATACACATTCCTCAGTTTGAAAATTAAGTACTTCTTGGTTGTAGGAAGGGTACAGTGCTCTGTTCATTAACTGTGGGGCTCATTGTTAAAAATGTGTTAAAAATAATTTAAAATATTTTTAGCTCAGTTGAAGCAACAAGCCTCTTTAAGAGGTCGCATGGAACTGCCACTCAGGACAATGCCTGCAAATCGTATGGGAATGGGTTTGAATCTTGGGGGTCCTAATTTGTTGAGGCCCAACAATTTAAACAGCATGGCTATGGCATCAATAAGGGCGAGGCTTGGAGGTGTGGGTATGGGGCTGGGACCACTTGCTGGCATGCCTGGTCCTATCAGAGGAGCTATCAGGTATGTTAGTATTGACACACTCCTTGTTTCAATTGGAAGTAGTCTTTATATGGTAAATTGTCCGTGGTAATTGTCCCTATTTGTCTTTGCAATTTTTTTGAAATAAGTTTATTTAAAAATACTTTAACATTGTTAGATGATTCAATAACAAACATATTCCTTACTTCAGAGGTAGGATGGAAAGAAGAATCATGAGGCCATATTGATTTTTACTTTTTGTGTTGTACTCCATGCAGAGAGGCAGCATCACATGTTGGAAGTTTATACCTAACTGTCACCCCCTTTTAGAGATCAGTTTGCGAAAAACTGAGAATGATTTTATTTACATGTTGAACGTGTTTTTGACTGACTGACTGGAAGTTTATACTTAACTGTCAATCCCTTTTAGAGATCAGTTTGCGAAATACTGAGAATGATTTTATTTACATGTTGAACGTGTTTTTGACTTGACTGACTGACTGGATTATGAATTGTATTTCAAACAAATAAATATGAACAAGCGAGTTTGTGTTGTTTTCATGCTTCATTTTTCGTTAGATCGATAAATATCGCACGTTTTTGCCTTTCCCTATATCGGCGCTAAATATTGCAACGTAAGCGTAATTTGACAGCGAGTTAGTAAAATTGAGTAAAGTATGATAGTGTGCAGTCTGAATCGGCTAGGTCGTCGACTGGTCATTTTCGTCTGCGACGCGCATTTAATTGTCAACGGCTTCAAATCAACTTTGACATGCGTTTATTTTACAAGTAACTCGACTTCCAGGAAAAAATTGAATCTAAAGAAAATTATTTTTTGAGACCAAATTATTTAAGAAATAATTTCAACTAGTACATTATTTTGTTTTGTTTATTTTCAAGCATTATTCGGAATTCCTGATAACTTTAAATGTATGATCTGGCTGCAGATCAACTCTTGATGGATAGACGACTTTAAGATTATTCAAATTATCAACAACTTTAACTTGTTCCACAATTAATATTTTAGGGGAGTTATCATCTGGCTGCTGATGATCATCTTCAAAGTCTTCATCTTTACCTTCATCTTCTATTTTACATTCACTGCTGGGTGATTCTTTTTCTTCACTTTCATTCTTTGCGTCCCCTGAGGCAGTTGATGTTATGTGATGTGATTCCATATCCTTGGTCATCGAATCCACTTCCTTCTCAATAATGACTTCCTCTTCCTGGCCTATTCCCATTTTCATCAGGTTGATCAATAGTTGGTCCATCACCTTTTTGCACACATCCAAATTATGGGAGCCAGTAACTTCAATGAAAATATGACGGGTGCTTTTTGTTACCTGTTTTGTTATGTAAAAGATGTTATTTTAATTAAGTTTTTATAATAAATATTAGTTATTAAATTCGTTACTAAGCCTGAGTTATGAATAAGCAAATCTTAAGAAACTTCAAGCCAACAAAAATATTAAAGAAGGTGAACTGCAGCAAAAGCTATGGCATGCAAATTAATATTTTGAAGACGGTTTTGTAATTTAAAAAACTAACTTTAGAAACATTGCTGTTGACAATGGGAGGAAAACTAATAACACGTGAAGAGTCATCTAGGACACATGGATACAATTGATCTTTCAATAAGTTCAAGTACCTGGTTTTAAAAAATGTAATAAGCGTGTTATAAGCATTACACTAATTTACACACTTTTTATAAATTTACAAACATTTCAATAATTTTCAAACTTTTCGCAAATTTACAAACATTTCACTAATTTTCCAACATTTTACTAACTTATGAACTCCACTGACGGTATTTCTTTTTTTCTCCTTCCTCAATTCTTCCGCTTCTTTCCTCAGACGCATCACCAAAACATTAGCTGTCACTTCTTTCAATTTGTTCAAAGGCTGAATCTGTAATGAAATGTGAAACAAAATGATATATTTTACTAGACTATTGATCATTGTGATGTATTTCAAATTTGCAACTAATTAGTAAACTAATACAGATAGTAGTACTTTGAGTTAGGTTGTTGTGATAAGGTTGTTTATTAACTTGGCAAAACTGTTATTGAAAGTGTGATGCTGTGTAAGTGTTTTTATGATATTATGTGTAACCAAAAAGTGTACATATGTGGACTTTGTAAAAAAAATTAAGTTATCAAAAAAATAGATGTCATGGAACAAAACTATGTTTCAAGATAAGCATGATTAAGAACAATATTTTCACACAATAGTCATGAAGTGAGTGATCTAAATAAACCTTGATAGATACTGGTTCCCTGGCATCATATATTAATGGAAACTTAATCTTTTCCAGATCATGTGTTGCTATTGTGGCAAGCTGTCTTTTCGCACAGGTCTCATCATGTAATCTAGTCTAATGTATGAAAATATCAAAGATTAGGTTAAGTATGTTAGGTTTAGTTAGAATATTTATGCCATCAGTAATGAAATGAAAATTAAAGTAATATATACCTGTAAAGCAATGAACCTCTTCATCGATGAGTTTGATTTAGAGAAATTTAAATTTCTGACTATGCAACAGACCATGTGTGGTCTCACACTCAAAGCTTGAGGCATTATTTTTACCAAAGTAGAGCCATTGATGTCAACATGTAGAATTTTTATTGAATTTTTTACCTCCACCTCTTGTTCAGCTTTTCCACCTTTTTCTTTGTTAGTCTTTTTAGTTTTGTCTTCCTTTTTTGCATTAGGATTATTTTTTTGTTTTTGTGTTTTCAAGTAATCAAGAATGGCTTTAGTGGAGCATTGGTTTACTAACTTCAGTAAACGTTTGTCCTTTAAATTATTTCCAGTACATTTGAAATCTTTCAATTTACCACAGTCAGCCATTTCAGCAGGAAGACTATCTAGTAGGTTATTAGAGAGATCCAAAGTTTTCAGATTAGGAAGCTTAGATAGATCATCGGGAATCATAGCTATTTTGTTATCATTGGCTGTTAAAGTCATAAGTGAGCCCAGTTCACGTGAATTCACACCCTCAGGCAGTTCGGTTAAAGAGTTGTGAGATAAATTCAACTCATGTAAATTAGTTAGACTACTTATGTTGATAAATTCAGTCAGTTGGTTGCAGTTGGCATTCAGTGTATGCAACTCTTTAAGATTGCTTAGTTCATTGGGCAAGGATGTCAGACAGTTGTTTGAAACATCCAAAAATTTCAATTTTGACAACAATCCAAGCGTTGATGGCAGATAAACAAATTTGTTGTTACGTAGAACCAGATTTGTTAAATTAGTCAATTCACCAATTTTATCATGAAACGATTTTAGACCGGCACAACTAATTTCCAAAAAATTTAGCTGCTTCAGGGAAAACACATTTTTCAATTCATCTAGTCCACCTTTTTCTTGGATCCTCGTCAACACGTCGGCACCAGTTAACACTAACTCTCGCCTATTTTCAGATTTCGCGGTTTCTATTTCTTTCCACATGCTTTCGATCGCTTATTTTATTATAAAATTTTTTATTATAAATGTAAAAAACTATGGCTTCAAGTAAATAAATTTGTTACTCTTAACGAAACTTGATCGGAAAGCTAAAAGTAAAAGATAACAAAGAATAAATTTTCTTAAATTATTGTTCGCATCATTGAGAGCAGTGTTATATATACTTACATGATCAGTCGTCATGTATTTCATATTTAAATATTCCTACACATAGAATAACATTACAGTATTATATAAAAATATTAATGTTTCGCAATCGCAAAATTCTTCTTAAGCGTTGTATTAAAAAGTATTTTAGATAACTTTGACGAAAGCTGTACCCCAAATTTAAAAAGTTTTGATCACAGTGATTGCGCAATCAGTTGTAATAGTGGCTACGGCTATAATATACAATTTGATTGTGAAATCTATACATGCTGAACAGTTTCCACCTGCATACATGCGCACGTACGTACGCTCCTTGGTGTATTTATAGATTAATAACGACTAAATTGTATCGAATATAACCTGCTAAAAAACATTAATACTTGGACACTATTCTTTGTATATGTTGACACTAGATAGATATCACCTTAATAGTGATAAAAGATTATTAACTAATGTATTTGATCCATTTTATGAGAAATTCTGAATCCAGGTGATATATGCTTCTTAGTCGAAGAAGGAATGTTTCATGCAATTCATACTAAAAACTGGGCCAATGAAGAATTGAACTATACACACAGTGATTATATAGAGCTTAGTCGGCTAGCTGAATAGTTGCTCGGATAATTTAAAGATATCTATTCTAATAATTTGTTTTCTTGATCAATTATATATGTATATATCAAATTTACAGTACTTATATATCAGCATATGGTTGAAATTAAGCGAATATTCTTTGACAAGAACTGAAATCAATAAGTTAATTAATTTATCATTTACTGACATAGAAATACATACACTTATGTAAACAAAGTCGCACGATTATCATTATATATAATTGTATAATCCTTTTTAAAAAATTCAAATAAAATCGAGTTACCAAAAAGAGCATAAAAAAGAAAATTAATAACATATCCCCCATATTTAAGAATTCAGTATAAATTAAGGCTTTGATTGGAAACTGAAAAATGAAGACAAAATAATAATGTCATTAAAAAATGAAAAATTTATCATTGAAAACATTTAAAATTTGGAGCCTACATTCTTAAATCATTTATTTAATGGGAAAATCATAAAACTGTGTATTCGTGTATGGGTGAGTGTATGTGTGTGTGTGTGAGTGTGTGTGTGCGTGGTGCGTGTGTGTGTAACATTGCGGCGATAAAAGACAAAATGGAATGAAAAGAAATACCAAATGAGAGCAGAGAAATAAAGTAAAATAGAGTTAATAGCCGATAATATTTTTGACAAATAAACTAACGAAAATATATACTTAAAACAAAAATAATAATTAACAATGACACCATAACGACGAAATAAAATGAACAACTAAACAAATAATAACAATAAATTAATTAATTAGTTAATTAATTAATTTAATTTAATAATTGAATACATCAATAGACGAAAAAATTATTCCTCTCTTGCCCAGTCAGCAACGTAGAGTCGTTCGTCAAATTCTCATAAACATCGTTACCTTTTGCGCGCTTTTTTACCTTTTCTTTCTCACTTCTAAAATAAATAAACAAAATAAATAATAATAATATTAGTATTGATAATAATAATAAAAAATAATGATGATGATGATGATGATGATGATAATAATAATAACAATAATAATAATGTCACCAAGAAAGCGTTTCAACGATCAAATAATAATTACAAAATACAATCGTAATAAAATTTTAATTTTTTTTATTAGTATTAGTAGTAATAGTAGTAGAAGTTGTAGTTGTATAGTAGAAATATTAGTATATTCGTAGTAGCAGCAGCAGCAGCAGTAATATTAGTACAGTTGTAGTAGAAGTAGCAGCAGTAGTAGTAGTAGTAGCGGCAGTTGTAGTAAAAGTATTAATAGTAGTAGTAGTAGTAGTAGTAGTAGTAGTAGTAGTAGTAGTAGAAGTAGAAGTAGTAGAAGTAGAAGTAGTAGTAGTAGTAGTAGTAGTAGTAGTAGTAGTAGTAGAAGTAGTAGTAGTAGTACTTTTATTATAATGATCGTTGTTGTTAAAGCCAGTCATTCACACGTACAAAAACCAAAATAACGAAACTGACATTTGAAAATGAGAGAATGTTGTTAATGAATGTTAAATGTAGCAAGTGATGTGATAATGTTATGAAAGTGTTGCAAAACAGTTAAAACATTATACAAAGAGTATTAGAAAAGTAAAGTACCATGATTTTTTGTTACAATACTATAGAATTAATACTACTCTATTATATGTTATAATTTGAATGGATGGAGGTATAATAAAATTTATACTACCTCAATTAAAACCGTTAATAATTATTTTCAATTTTACTGAAAATTCAATTTATTATTTGCAATTAAGTAAATTAATAACACATTAATTACTGTGGTGAAATAGAATTAAAATGTAAAATGGATATAAACGAAATATAAAGTTAGATGTCTATTGAAATCAAAATATAAATAGATACAATAAGACAAGTTCAAGCATTGCTGTTGAAATTTTTGAAAAAAAATGAAAATGAAATGAAACAATTACATGATAATGATTAAAACTTGATTCAAATGTCTTAAAAAGAATAAAAAAAATTATTAAAATCCGCCAAAATAGTTTTAATGAAATGAAATAAATTCTCTAAATTTGAACAAAAAATTTATCAATATATATATGAAGATATGGATAGGCTTTCGACAAAGCTGGAAATTGAAGACAAATCAATCACTTTTTTGCTGATGGCATTACAGATGCTATGTAGTGATTTCGTGCTACCAAATTACTGTTACGAATTTTTAATGAAGAAGATTTTATAAATATTATATGACTACATTTACTGAATAAAACCAAAAATAATAATTTGTAAATTAAAACAAAATTAAAAAGTTTACGGTTCTAAATGATTTTTTCAATATATATAGCTGGTTTTTATAAGCATTTATTATTTGGCTAGTTTTTACACAGGACGCCCTTCCTTACGCAACCACAGTATCCGGCAGAAGAGGGTGCGAAGAATCTCCGGAGACCCAGTCGATGGGGTTGTGGTGCAAGGCCCTGTGGATGGTCTGGCTACTGGCACCCCACTCTATAGTGTGGCGGTGCAAGGCACTATAGATGGAAGGACTACTTGTAGACCAAGGGGTTGGAGGTTTGGTACCTGGAATGTAGGCACGTTGACAGGAAGAAGTTTGGAAGTGGTGGAGGAGCTGCAGAGGAGAATGGTTGACGTGGCTGCATTACAGGAGGTCAGATGGAAGGGTGAGGGTACAAGGTTTGTGGGGGCTAAAGGTGGAAGATATAAGTTGTGGTGGAAGGGGGATGATGGTACGGGAGGAGTTGGTGTGATGGTAAGAGAAGAGTTGGTGGAGAAGGTGTTGGAAGTGAGGCGGAGAAGCAATGGGGTAATTGTGGTGGTGATGGTGTTTGGAAAAGTAATAGTGAGGGTGATATCAGGATATGCTCCGCAACAAAGTAGGAAGGAAGAGGAGAAGGATAGGTTTATG